TATAGTATCAATATATTGTATTAAAAATATGTGAATTGGAGTGAAGAAAAGAGTGTTTTATTCCTTCCTTTATAGTCCAATAAGTTAATTCAGGAAAAACATGATAATACAGTTGATAATATATAAAATATGTGTGCGCAAAGCTAGAGCCTTTATGTAGACATGTTGTTTGCTGGGTTCATACAATCAATGACACTGAATCAAGAATAATTTTGCAGTGTATGGAAAATTTTGATTTCATACATATACGTATATTTCATGTAGAACTGACCAGACAGCAGTGTGTTGTTTCCAGCGTCACTCTGGTTCTGCTCTGATGTCTGACTGCTTTTCTGCTGTTGACTGACACTAGAGCGAGACTGAGATCTTACACCTAGTCAAACATAAAATGATTATGTAGCTAAATGTTTTGAGGGAAAGGGAGGTCAAAAAATAAAATGTTGACTTTTGATCTCTTTTATACACACATGAATAATTAACTTAGAGAAACCTATATGCCTTATACAAATACTTTTGATCTCTTTTATACACACATGAATGATTAACTTAGAGAAACCTATATGCCTTAAACAAATAGTGAACATGATGGAGGGCTTGACTCACAGTTGTTTTCAATACAGATTATGTGAATATTTAGCATTATTTTTATCAATACTTTTCAGTAATTAATAAATTATACTCCAAAGCATGCTTAAAATGGTCTCCCAGCCTGACTAGACAAAAACCACCCCAAACTCAGGTTGGGAGACCAGAAAACAAGCATAGGCTGGTTTAAGATGCTTATTTTCAGCAGAGGAAGCAAATGGTTTAGGAACAGAGTTAGTGTCTGGAAATGTGCCACTGAATTTTAATATGGCAAATGATGAACCTTTGTTGTTTCTGTAGCACCACGGCAGGACTAAGAAGACAATGATCAAAAATGTGACAGTCAGTCCTGCAGTCACTCCAGCTATCATCAGACAGAGACCATCATGGTGGGGTTTTAAACTGATATAAACAGCGTAGAGTCAGAGTATCTCCTTCAGTCACAGGATGAACAGGACTCTCCAGAATCACACCAACTACAGAACAGAGGAAACATGCAATGTTGGCAAATAGTAAAATTCTATGAAAAATATAGTAACAAAAATGGTTTATACATTTTATGACAAAACTATTCTTTGTGCTGCCTGCCCACTGAATGTTTTTTTGTCCCACTGTCCACTCCCTGTGTATCTTCTCACTCTCCATCTATCAGAGTTACTCTGGTCCTCACAGCTCAGAGTGAGAGAGACCAATGGGAAGTGTTGAGTTCTGCTGGGACTGATGATCAGAGAGACTGGAGGAGAAACACCTGAGAAGACAGTTAGAGTTAAGTATTTAGAAATGTTTGATTTTAAAAAATAAATATGAACCAATCATTTAAGTGTTTGAACTCACCAGTGACCCATAGTGGCTGTTTGTTGCTGTAGGTTGTTTTATAGGCTGGTTTTCCTCTCTCTGCTCTGCACACATACACTCCTGTGTGATTTAGAGCAGCATAACTGACATTGTAGTTTCCTCCAGCTCCTCTGCTGCTGTCTGAGAGCAGCTGATAATGATTGCTGCTTTCTGTATAAAGTGAGAATGTGCAGATGTTCACTAAGGGAATTAATTTCTATATGCTCCTTATGAATGACTTTCATTGTAAACTGATGTATTCAGATTGATTCAATACTTTTAATGGCTTCGGTTCAAGATGCTCACTATCAAGCAGATAGTATCTCAAATTCAGTCCGAGGACTGGTTTATTACGATAGATCTCAAAGATGCTTATTTCCATGTTTCCATCCTTCCTCAAGACTGGAAGTTCCTGAGACAAACTGATAAATTCAGAATTGGCATTATGAGAATAAATAATATTCTGGTGTGTTTAAAGAACAAGGAAAATGAAACAATATTTTGATGGCTCATTAATCTGCATTCATTGATTAATGGAAGCAGCAGAAACGAGTGAACAGGGGAATCATGAAATTTAATGAAATTTTGGGAATCATGAAATTTAACGATTCTGTTTTGGGTTCCTTCCTCTTAATAAATCTGTCTCCATAACAGTTCAAATAATGATTATTTTTGTTCTTTTGAGGAAGAAACATTTTGGGAAAAAAAAGAATTGCAATCCTTATTTTACTCCGCTCAGAAATCTGTTCGATTCTTGCAAACGGTTGTATTGTGTTTTATTGTCATTTTCACAGATCACACACTTATAAAAGTAGACTATGTACATTCATTGCAACAAAATGACAGTAATGTCAGTTAATTTTCCCTAGTTAACTTTCAATAGACAAAAACTCCATAAAACAGTTTTGAAAGTTGTGAGAATTACATTATCTACGACCTTTATACAAACCGTGCCATTGTAAACTCTGTAAGTCTTTCTCTCAGACTCCTTTTCATCTATGTTGAATTCAATATGGTGTCAAACTGTATTAAAGGGATATTTCACTCAAAAATGAAAATCCTGTCATCATTTACTCACCCTCAAGTTGTTCCAAATCTGTATGAATATCTTATTTTGTGTTCAGCGGTGGAAAGAAATGCATACAGGTTTGGAACAACTTGTGGGTGAGTAAATGATGAGAGAATTTTCATTTTGTTTGAACCATTCCATTAAGGCCTATTAGGAAATATCAGACCAATGGATGGCGAGATTGACGAGTCAGTATTATTTCAGCGCGCATTGTAATAAGGTAACATATTATTGATTTTGCCTGTTTCTCAATAAGACTTTCCATTCTATTGAGTTTTTATTATGTCTTTTTTATTGTCTTTTTATTTTATTTTGTCTTTTCTGGGTGGATGTATCACAGGAGACAGTTATATCAACCTTGATGTAATGCAGTCCTGGTATGCATCCCAAACCATTGAACACATTATAAAACTCCTTCAGGATGTCTGTGTTTTCTTCACAGTCTACTTTGTGTTTTGTCTTTCTGTTTTTGCGTTTTGCACATTCTGCCGAAGTGATTTTTTTCTGCGACACACTTTGCATACTTGCCCATTTGCCGGACACTTCCTTGGTTCATGCCTGTAACCGCAATCTGGTACAATTACTTTCTTTCTTTGACCATGCGTTTGGAGCATGACTATTCTCAGGTGACTTTTAGTTAGCTTCATCTTGCTAATTTTGTTTACAATCACTTCCGTTTCCTCGTGAAGAGCTTTAATCATTGTTCACACCACACACTATGCAGTCTCAGATCAGTGAGTCTGTCAGTTGTGTGAATTCACATTCTTTAGCCTTGTTTTTTAAAATCGGTCACATATGCATCAATCGTTTCGATCTTGTGAAGAACATGTCTTAGATATGTTAAATGTCTTCATGGTTCACAGTAATGCATAAACTTTTCTTTCAGAGCTTCAAAATCATTAGATTCTAGCTCATCAAAATCTATTCCTCATCAGAATCCCATTAGTGCTTCATCCTCAGCAATGTGAAGAAACGTAGTACATTTGATCTTTCCTGTGCTTGCAATGAGATACAGCTCAAACTTCTATATTCAGATTCGCCAATTCTCTGGGGTGTTTCCTTGAAGTTCATTTGGAGGTTTTATCTGATCCATTGTGAACTTCTGACACCATGTAATGTCTTGTGGTATTTCCTAGTTAGCTGTTTAGGCTTACCGTTTAGGCTTACTGCTACCACCTACTGGTAAGGACCAGCATATATCACATGAGCCACTGAAATGCTTCAGTCTTTAATCCCTTCAGATCTACAGAGTTGTTGCCGGTCAGTGGTGCTCAAAATGCTCAAAACACTCTTTTTTTTTCAGCCCATAATCATCATATAAACACATGATTACAGATGCAAGGTTTGTTTCCTGATGCTCAAAGTAACATTGTCAATTTAATAAACTTTTGTAAAGCCCAGCCAGTCTAATCACAACAGCACCCAAACTGCAACATACATACACATTCCTACATACATTCCTTTAACCCTAAAATGCAACACAATGTAATACAGAATTCAAAGTGCAGGGGGAAAAACTGTGCAAAAACTATAAGAAAATTTCTTCATATTAACAGTACATTGGACCCTATTTTTATGTTTTTGGAGTGCAATAAATATACACACTGTGCAGTACTAAATGATAATTCTCTCTTTCTTTCTTTCTTCCTTCCTTCCTTCCTTCCTTTCTTTCTCCCAATGTCAAGTACTGATAAATCTATTGCCATCAAGTGCTCAGTATCACAAAGATGATAAAGCGTTGATGATCCTGGTCATTCTCCAGCCCTTCTCAACCTCAACCTTCTCAACTCATCAGCGTCCTGGGATTGAAAGCTTCTCCTCTGGGTTTTTATTTAATCTGAGCATACGTCACATCACTAGATCCAGCACCTGAAAATATAGAAATTAATAAAAAAAATTAAACTGCACATTAAAATTAATAAAAAATGCTAAACTGCACATTTAAAATTTTTATATACAGTATTTGATTTCATTCTTAATTTTTGTATCTTAAAATATTTATAAAATCTCTACAGCTAAGGCATGTTATTCAGTGTTCTATTACAATTATATTATTGCAGCGAGTTATTATTGAATTATTGTACCAAGTGTATGCTGCACACTGGTGGTGGTTGAGGAGAGACCCCCCTTCCCCCCCTCCTCCCCACACACACACACATGATTGTAAAGCGCTTTGGGAGTACAGCAAAACACAATAAAGCGCTATACAAATACATCATTCATTCATTCATTAATATATATATATATATCCAATTTACCTCAAAATCAACATACTGTAATCTGCATGCAATGACCTTTTGGATGAATATCAAAGTTCACAGTTCACAGCCACAAACAGGTGTTTAATGCTACTGTTGTGATTCTTGTAGCTATCTAGAGTTGATGGAGAAATCAAAGGAGCTACTGTTGTGATCATAAAAGAACAGAGACTTTTGTTTTACCTTCGTTTTCTTTCTTTTTATTCTGTTTCTTAGAAGAGTTCAGTTCAATCTCAGCATAGGTGAGTTCAGTAGGCCCGCTTACACGGTCTACAATGAAAAATAAAGAAACAAATAAGACATGCATAGGATTTTCACATGGGCTTTTTACAGGGTCAAAGTTGTGCTATGTGAAAAGATTTGGTGTTAGAATGTTACGGCTAGATGCTTAGCAAGAGACACTTATTCGCGTGCCTCATATTCACGTGCTTTAGACAGTTAAAGAAGCACCATGCGTTGTATGAACATCGTTTCACCGTTAGAAGGGGAAATGTCAAACGGTGAAGGAAAATACATGAATTTGAATGAAGAAAATACCGTTTTTGAGTGTTTTTTACCTTCATAGTCCGATAGATTAATTCATGAAAAACTTAATAGTACAGTCAGCAATATATAAAATATGGATGTGCAAAGCTAGAGCTGTTATGTAAACATGTTGTGTGCTGCTTTCATCCAATCAGTGACAATGACACAGCAAATATGGAAATAAGAACAATAACCCAGGATTTAGGAATGTGAAGTACAAACAGTAGAAAATAACTACTGTTTCAGGAAAAACATCATGACATAAAATACTTTAAATGACATCATTAGTTACCTGTGTTTATGTCTTTATTGATAGTTGCATCAACAGAGTCATAAATATGAGTAGTTCCTGTAATAAATTAATACATTAAATAATTTTCAATAACATTTTTACAATTATTTTTGTCATGCATATCCTGAATTATTTCAATCCAACAGAAGATATTGTTGACACTGAAAATATAAATAATTAGGGGCTAAATATTTAAGTATTTATTTATGGTTAATGGGTAAAATCTGACCAGACAGCAGTGTGTTGTTTCCCGCGTCACTCTGGTTCTGCTCTGATGTCTGACTGCTGTTCTGCTGTTGACTGACACTAGAGCGAGACTGAGATCTTACACCTAAGATAACATAAAATGATTTGACATTGTAAATGTAAATGTAAATGTAAACAACATGTAAATGTTTTGAGGAAATATATGGGGTCAGTTAAAAAAAAACTGACTTCTGATCTCCTTAATGCATACATAAATGGCTAATTTGGAACACTGTGCATATGCAGCAACACTCAGAAATGTGTTTAAAATGGTCTCCCAGTCTGAAAACTACCCAAAAACCTCTTGAAACTAGCTAATTTACCAGCTTTACCAGGTCGGGAGACCAGCTAAGACCAGAAAGCCAGCTTAGACTGACGTAGGATGGTTAACAGACTGTAGTGTCTGCAAATGTGCCACTGAATTTTAATGTGGTAGAAGATGGACCTTTGTTGTTTCTGTAGCGCCACAGAAGGACCAAGACGACAATGATCAAAAATGTGACGGTCAGTCCTGCAGTCACTCCAACTATCATGAGATTGAACCCTTCAGATCTTGAGGCTGAGATAAATACATTTTACATTCAGATTAGTGCTGTAAATTATACAGGCACATTTCAATAGTTTTTATATTTCTTAGTCTCACCTCTGACTGAGATCCAGCTCTTGGGTGACTCTCCTCTCTCTGAGTGTTTGCAGTAGTAGAAACCCTCATGTGACTTTGAGACAGTAGAGATGATCATCTCTGTAGTTTGATTCTGGATGAGTGATCCATCTTTATAGAAATCAGCTCTGAGGTTTGGTGGGGTTGAATGTTGATATAAACAGCGTAGAGTCAGATTATCTCCTTTAGTCACAGGATGAACAGGACTCTCCAGAATCACATCAGCTACAGAACAGAGGAAACATGAACTGAGTGTAAATAGTAAGATTTCAGTATAGGAACAATATGGTAACACACACAAACACATACACACACACACACACACACACACACAAAAAAAGTGTTTTTTTGCCCACTGATGCTTCCTGCACAACAACTGCTGATTCAGTAAAAATATTATTATGAGAAAGTCATTTAAATGACATCATTAGTTACCTGTAATTATGTCTTTGTTAATCGTTTCATCAACAGACTCATAAATATGAGCAGTTCCTGCAATAAATGAATACATTAATTTCGAGTAGTATATTTTTCAAATTATTTTATCATGCATCTTATGATTTCAATTCCACAGAAAAAATATAGTGTTCAGGTAGGTTTAAAAATATAAAGCACTGAATGTTTTGTTATGCAGTTTTTGATAATAAAATAACATCCAGCTGAAATATGTCAGTTAAACAAATATCATGTTAAACTTGAGTTTTTCAGTTGTGAGATCAGTCCTGTTAGTTAAAAGTTATACCTGAGTGTCTTTCATCTCAGCTTGTAAAGATTTATATGTATTTATTTATGGTTAACAGTTAAAGACTGACCAGACAGCAGTGTGTTGTTTCCCGCTTCACTCTGGTTCTGTTCTGATGGCTGACTGCTGTTCTGCTGTTGACAGACTCTAGAGGGAGACTGAGATCTTACACCTAGTCAAACACACAATGATTATGTAAATGTTCTGAGGAAATTAGATAGTCAGAAAAATGACTTTAATCTCCTTTATGCATACATCTTTGGAAAATAATATAATGCTATAATTCATGATATCTGAATCTTCACCACACACTGTATCTGTTCTAAACCCCAGTGAGCTGCTTCACTGCCTATGTTGACCGCATCCTAACTGAAATAGAACGTGATAAATGACTCATTTGAAGCACCTTATATATGCACTTTACAACTCATGCATGATACAAACATCGGAGAGGATGGAGAACTTGACTTCAATTATTACATGAATATTATTATATTATCAGTATTAAATAAATAACAAACCTAGGCTTGTTTAAGTTGGTCTCCCAGCCTGAAAAAGCTCACAAGGTTTAGGATCAGAGTTAGTGTTTGCAAATGTGTCATTAAATTGTAATGGCAGATGATGAACCTTTGTTGTGTCTGTTGCGCCACAGCAGGACCAAGATGACAATGATCAAAAATGTGACAGTCAGTCCTGCAGTCACTCCAATTATCATGAGATTGAACCCTTCAGATCTTGATGTTCTGTAGGAAGCTGAGATAAATAAATTTTACATTCAGATTAGTGCTGTAAATGATACAGGCACATTTCAATAGTTTTTATATTTCTTAGTCTCACCTCTGACTGAGATCCAGCTCTTGGGTGACTCTCCTCTCTCTGGGTGTTTGCAGTAGTAGAAACCCTCATGTGACTTTGAGACAGTAGAGATGATCATCTCTGTAGTTTGATTCTGGATGAGTGATCCATCTTTATAGAAATCAGCTCTGAGGTTTGGTGGGGTTGAATGTTGATATAAACAGCGTAGAGTCAGAGTATCTCCTTCAGTCACAGGATGAACAGGACTCTCCAGAATCACATCAGCTACAGAACAGAGGAAACATGAACTGAGTGTAAATAGTAAGATATCAGTATAAGAACAATATGGTAACACACACAAACACATACACACACACACACACACACACACACAAAAAAAGTGTTTTTTTGCCCACTGATGCTTCCTGCACTTGTTTAATCAACCTGCTTTATGCTTTGATTATAAACTGCCAGTGAAACAAATACACACAGACTCACGGTGTACAGTGATATTAACAGGATGACTGTTCTCTCCAGATTCAGACTGACACCAGTACACTCCAGTGTCTGATGTGTTGATAGAGCTGATTGTACATGTAGATCCTGTTTGTGATGCCCGGCGTAATGATGAACAATCTTCCCACTGTCCACTCCCTGTGTATCTTCTCACTCTCCATCTATCAGAGTTACTCTGGTCCTCACAGCTCAGAGAGAGAGAGACCAATGTGAAGTGTTGAGTTCTGCTGGGACTGATGATCAGAGAGACAGGAGGAGAAACACCTGAGAAGGAAATTACAGCTACAATGTTTGAGAATTTAGTAAATTATCTTTATTAAAGATTAACCAAACATTTAAGTTCTGTTTGAACTCACCAGTGACCCATAGCAGTTGTTTGCTGCTGATGGTTGTGTAATAGGCTGGTTCTCCTCTCTCTGCTCTGCACACATAAACTCCTGTGTGATTTAGAGCAGCAGAACTGACAATGTAGTTTCCTCCAGCTCCTCTGCTGCTGTCTGAGAGCAACTTATAATGATTGCTGCTTTCTGTATAAAGTGAGAATGTGCAGATGTTCACAAAATAAATTAATTCTATATGCACCTCTAAATGGCTTTCAATGTAAACTAATGTATTTAGATTGATTCAATACTTATAATCTCAATAATATTTTTTTATAAAAACACTTTTAGTTATCACATTAAGCACATTATAACTTACCTGATGAAAAAGTTAGAGTGTACCAGCTGAATGTCCAGCCTGTAGAGGAGCTGTTAACCTCACAGATCAGAGTCACTGGATCTCCTTCAGTCAACCACTTCTGTGGAGAAACACTTAAAACTGCCTGGACTGTATCTGAAATAGAGAAATCACTCATTAATAACATGTTAAACGTGTGTGTGTGTGTGTGTTTTTGTGACATATGAGGACACAAATTTGTATAATGACATGGGTATGACATAGGTATTACAAGGAGAAGGTGACTTATGAGGACATTACCCCATGTCCCCATTTTTCAAAACGCTTATAAATCATACAGAGTGAGTTTTTTTGCAAAAATGCACAAAGTTTCCTGTAAGGGGTAGGTTTAGGTGTAGGGTTGGTGTAGGGCAATAGCACATACAGTTTGTACAGTATAAAAACCATTACGCCTATGGAATGTCCCCACAATTCACAAAAACAAACATGTGTGTGTGTGTGTGTGTGTGTGTGTGTGTATGAAGAGACGATCAAACTCACCTGATACTTTCAGTGTAACTGCATCACTGATGTTTGATGTTCGTGATCCTCCTCTCTCTGCTCCATAACAGAAGTATTTACCTGCGTCAGACTCAGTAACAGGACTGAATGTGTGTTCCTGTAGTTCACTGAAAACACTGTTTGAACTGTCTTTATACCAGCTGTACTGCCAGCTAGTGACTCCTTCACCATCAATGTCACATCTGAGAGTGACTGTCTCTCCTCTGAATACATGTTGATCAGGTTTAATGCTCACTTTGGGTTTTGGTTTTTCTGTACAACAACAACAACAACAATTCACAATGAAAACAATGTGCTGCTTTTACTGTATGAACATAGTTACTTGATTGTAAAAGAAAAATCAGGTTAGACTGAAATGTTGTTCTCTATAGCTTACGCTTATTCATTGTCTTATGAATCATTTTCATTGTGTTCTCAGAGCAGTTAATTATATGAGAAAAATACTTGCCGTATATTGTCACTGTTACTGGTTCACTGTAATTTGTGTAATGTCCTTCTCTACGTGCTCTACACCTGTACTCTCCTCCATCAGAGACTTTCACTGAATCGATTGTTTTAGTTGAAGCTTCAGTAGATTCAGTGTTTGAGTTTTTACTCCAGAGAAACTCCCATCCATCCCATGACTGATCCACCTCACATCTCAGAGTAACTGAGTCTCCAGTGAACAATGCACTCTGTGGCCGCACAGTCAGAGTTGGTTTGGGAATATCTGTCAGTATAAAATCATTAGTAGCATGAGCTGTGAAGGTGTTTCAGCAGAAGATTTCATCATCTCACTGGTAAATCATTAGTGCATTTAGATTTTCACAGACAATGTGCTCTCAGGAAAAAGGTATGAAAGCTGTCCCTGGGGCAGTACCTCTTCAAAAGGTACCCATCTTGGTACCATATTTGTACCCTAAAAGTACACCTAAAGTGTTCATATTAGTACCTAAAAGCTACAAAAGTGTACCTTTCGAAAAGGTACTGATCCAGAGACAGCTTTTGTACAGTGACAGTGATGCCAATATTCACTCTGCACAATGCAAAGAGTTAAAGGACAACCAAGATGTCACTTTAAGACCTACTAGGTGAGGTTCAATCCCATAAACTTTGAGTTAATAGCACAGATAATGACCCATTTTGCCACACCATCAACATCTATACCAGCAGTCAAAGAGACGCAACATTCAACAAAGTGTTGTGCAGATACAGCAGCAATAAAGTTCTAAATGGCAACGAGGTCAACAATAAAAAATAATAATTTCTGCCCAGTAGGTGGCGCAGTCACTAAACAAATGATCAGTGAGGCCTACAGAGTTTATTTCACCAGGAAAAAGCATTACAGCATTACAAAAGCATTACAGAGATAAATCATGACTACTTAATGTAATTTGGTAATGACTGCAAACATCAACAATCCAGACAATTTTTATGAGACTTAGTTTGACAATAATATGAACCAATTTTGTTAGAATATAAAATGAGAAGAAAACATGAACAATATTTTTTTACAATATTCAATTATTGCGACTTAAAAAATTACTTCAGACCAATGGGTTCAGAGTTGTAAGCAAAAGTAAAAAGGGGCTTGGTGTTTGACCCCCTAAAAATTTGAACACTCATATGAACACTTATACAATTTATTATGTCAAAATGTCAACCACAAAATAGAAAATTGAAAACCACAACCTTAATTTTGGAGTACCTCTGAACCTCATGTATTTAAATTTAAAAATACATTTTTTGGATTATTTGAATCAAATTCACTCACCTTTATTGTGTCCAGAGTGGATGTTTGAAATCAGCACTAAAAACACAAAGAGAAAAAATCATTACAGTGTGGTCACTGAGCTGATCAACTGTATATTATACATCAGACATATTATGAAGGTATATCTTCCTCCCTTGCTTGTCAAACACCATAATTTCATGCATAATTGTTTCATATTCTAGTTCGTTTTGTTGAGAAATGTATGTGTCCAGATAAACATTATCACATCTGATTGATATTTTATGTATTTTGACAAAGCAGAGAGAACTGGTTAACAAATTTAAAGCTGACAGTCTGAAGACAAGCAGAGGACTAAAAATTCATTCTTACTACATGTAAAGTACTATTGAACATCTTATTAAGGCAACAAGGACAATAACTATGAAAAACAAAACTACAGAACTGATTCAACAAACACCATTACAAAACACAAAACCGATTGTTTACTCATATATCATGGACTAGGGCTGGATTTGAAACTCTGAAAGCAGCAGGAAAGGGGAAAAAATTAAGGAACACTGAATCACTTGATCTTATAAGAGCAATTATCATCCACTGAAATACATACAGTGAAAATAATACTCACAGAGCACAAGAGGAAGTTGACTGAGCTCCATACTGACTGAATGATGACAGACGGTTAAAGACACAGACTGTGTTAAAGCCTCAAGACTTCCTGAAACCTGCAGTCAGATCTTTAGGAACATCATGACAAAGACATGCAAATGTACCTCATGCGTTACAGAATATCTTTTGATAATCTTATAACATGTTTTCAGAAACTTTCACACTGACTAACATGCAAGTTTTCTACAGAAATATTACCATGAATCATAAACTCAGATTTGGCATTATGAGAATAAGTAATATTCTGGTGTGTTTAAAGAATAGGGAAAATTTATCAATATTGTGATGGCTCTTTAGCATAATGGTAGTACTTTTGCATTCATTACTTTATGGAAGCAGCAGAAACTAGTGAACAACTGCTGCTCCTCTCACACTGGTTAATGCCACTGAACTGAAATAAAACAAAACAAACCACAACTATGAGCTCATCTCTGTCTATTTCTATTCTATCAGGCTTCTGTGTTTAAAAATATCTGTACATGTGAACACAGTTTAATATTCACCAAGACGAAGGATGGGAATCATGAAATTTAACAATTCTGTTTTGGGTTCCTCTGAATAAATTTGTCTCCTTAATTCAAATAACAATTCATTTAGTTCTTTTGAGGAAGAAACTTTTTGGGAAAAAAAAAATGCAATGCTTGTTTTACTCCACTCAGAAATCGGTTCGATTCTTGCAAAAGGTCATATATATTTTACTGTCATTTTCACAGATAACACACTTAAAGTAGCCCATTACAATGTATTCTCTACAACAATATTATAGTTATGATAAAAAAAGAGAAAAATTTGCTTCTTGTTCAGTTTAATTAATTGAAATGAGCTAAAGTAACATGCTTTTTGAACATTTTGTACCAACAAAAAATAAATCGTTGGTCCAACTTAATTATGATGCACATTTCCACGCATTTGAATTATGTTATCTCAACTTAATCTAGGTAAATAGAACCAAAGAGCAAAATTCATCTTCAACCAATGAGATCAAATCATGTTAATTTGAATTATCTTGTGGATTTAACTTGTACACAACTTACTCTTCTTGAGCCAATTCATTTTAACCACTTAATTACGACAACCAGAAATGTTTTAACTGAACAACTTTACTTACTTTAACCAGCTTTTGACTACTGATATTTCCACCAAAATGTATTTTAATGTACAAATAAATAAAATGCTCAATGTAAATGTCTTAAGTCTTTCTTTATTCCAATTTCAAAAGAAAAAGACAACAACTCCTGTTCAGTGCTGAGCTGTTTTCAAAAGTTTCAAAACTATCTTAGAACAAGATCAAAAATGCAGTATTTCCAGTATCAGTTTAAATAAACCACATTAGTATTTTTAAAGTTTCAGCTAAGTTGACATTTAAGTAACACAAAGAAACAAACTACAATGCAAAATACAAAAAAAAGAGGACTAACAATATTGATATTACAATCAAAAAGTACTGTGTTAAATAGAAAAAAATCTGCTAAGTGTTGAGCTTAGAACAAGATAGAACAGGATCAACTTACTGCAGCATCTTTTGGAAGACCTCAAATATAGATTTGAGTCTTCATGGGTAGCTAAGGTTAAAGGCATAAATGAGTCTGAATAACATGGCCACTGCCACAGCTGCATTCCTCAAAGAAATGAGAATGTCAACCCCTTCTGATCTACTGGGTCATGTCCTTCATGTCGAACAATGCAGATCCCAATTACTGTCTGGGCTCATGGCTTCTTTGGCAGTCAACCAATCACAATCCTGCGCAAAACATACAAAATATGCTGCATTTGTATGACATCTAATATTTAATGCAGTACAGGAAATAGATGAAAGTGAACTAGATGATGAAAGAGATAAGCATTTGCTTACATTGTACTCCTTGACCAGCTGTATATGGTCCTCATTCAAGCATACACACGATTTGAGGACGCATTCTCTTTGCACGTCAATGCTGTTAATATGTAAAAAAAAAAATTAAACAACTTACAATAAATGGACATATCTGGCATTACAATATTGATAACCAAATTGCAGTGTATAACCAAGTACATACAAAAAAAAAAAGAAAAAAGATCAGTGTGATTTTTTTCATGTACCAACCTATGAAATGGGCTGCATGTTTTTTTAATTGTTCGGCCAGTGGCAGTCCAGTGGGACTGCTGTAATTTGCATGGACTCAGCCTAAAGATGGGATACATTACAAATGTATCACACATAAGATAATGAAAAGACAGTAAGTGCATTTAAAAGTAGATTTTTATTTTCTTCATTTTAATATTATTTTGAATATTTTAGATTTTTGGAAAAAAGTATTACGCTACTTTAGAAATTATGTTGTACTGTACAGCCTTTGAAAGTCACATCTACTCAAGCCTCTGCTAGCCTATGGAAAAACAATCAAAGCATTTATGAGTTTAAAGATATGTTGTAATTTGTACTGAAAATTAATGTGAAAACACACACACACACACACACACACACACACACACAGAGATATATATAACATAACATAAATTATAATGTTTACACAGTTTGTACCTGCTAGACTCAAATGCTCCACATTCTTTACAAGGCCGCATTCAAATAACTAGAAGAAAAACAAGCACAACAATCAGTTATGAACACTGTAAAACAACAGGTTTCAATCATTAGTAAAACAATCATTATGAATCATATCAGATTATAATACTATTATATGTTTTTATTCTAGCAACCAAAAAATTAAGTATGTCCAAACACCAATCAATAAAACACTTTCCTCAATTGCATGGCAATAATAAATGGTTTTGGGAAAATATCCATTAGTATAAGAACATTATACAACAACATTGTATACAACTTACCCAATGAAAGTAGACTAAAGCCAAACAAAGGACGCCGTTTATTATGCTCTTATTAAAACCTGTGAAATGAAAAATAAAAATGAATTAATAAATACAGCTAAATACAGCATCCGTAACAATAATACTGTATCGTAACAGTAATGTCCAGTAGTATCATATGGACAACACAGCCTTAAGCTTACAACATAAATGTTACATAATAACTATTCATTCGTTTTTACTTGAATTTGCAGTGTTCTCGTCTCTACCTGTACGGAGATATCCCCTTGCTTGCTAAACAACATGCTGAGCAACACTAGCCTGAATGAAATGGCTAATATAACCGATTCATCTAATGAAATACCACTTAAAACAAGTATTAGGGCTATACATCTACAGCGTTAATATCCAATTATGTACATTTATGATGCATTTTTATCAATCCGCTCAGTCATTCTTGAGACGTGGGACAAAACAGGTCCAGCAAGGGTAACTGCTATTAGCTTTAAAAAATAAAAATATTTTCAATTTTAAATGTCATGAGGGATTAATAATAGAATGTATTTAACACAATTATCACCTTCAATTTAATTTTCTCATTATTATACCAAATCTGTGTTTCTTAATGTCCTCTCACTACGTCTAAAACAGTGTGTCCACAGAGAAGGGTTCAATCATTCATATGCAATAAAATGGATAAAAAAAAATGTAATGAGTGAAAAAGAGCTTGTTTTATCAAAAGCAACACTTAATAATATCTATCAAAGCAAGGTTGTTTTTTTAATGACACATGCATGTTTCATAAGATTTTAAAGTTGCGTCCCCACTTTTTGTCAACACCGTCAGACATTCAATAAAATGTAATAAAATCAGGGAATATCAGGGGCAGCTGTCACTCTAAAGGACCCCCTTGCCACAGTTCACCTCTGCAGAGTACAGCAGTGTCAGACAGGCTCTGCTAAGTTTTATAGTTTTAGAATATTTTAAATCCTAATGTTAATATTTCCTTTGTCACAGCCATGATATGTCAACACCATCTTCCAATTTCTGAGGAAATTATTTGAAATATTTAGATAATTTTATTCTCCTGAAGCAGGTTCCATTAGCATCTAGCATCAACAGAAAAAAATAAAATGCTACTACATGAACTACATTAGTTTTGTGAAAGAAATGCCAAATTTGTCAACACCGTCAGATGTCACCACCATAAGATTTTGTGTTCCAATGATATATCAAAATACTTAAATGTGACTCTTGAATAAAAGCTTTATAAACAATAACATACTCACTGTTTGTTGTGTTTGTTTTAAAACAGTAATTGACTGATTCAATGTATTTGATAGTTAAAATTACTACAAATTCAGGTTTTCGTCACCACCGTCAGATGTGTCAACTCCGTCAGTTCTGTCACCTCCGTCAGTTGAATATTTTGATAATATTTCATTATGATATTTTATATTTGTTGTGGAATTGTTGGTCACATGTGAAAGTGTAATCTGTCTGCTAACAAGAGAATGTGTTTTGAAATGTTAAAAACATCTTGAATGCTGTTAAAGATAAAGCTGAAATTATATTACACAGTCCAAGGTAAAAAAAAAAAGCCAATTTTGTTAAAAAAGAGAAAAGCTGGGAGGTTGTATCAAAGCATAGCTCAGTAGCTTAGTACATATAAGATACATAAATGTAGTTTCATTTGTCTGAGTACAAGGTTTTATTTTTTCAATTTTGCACCCTGTTTTGTCCCACTTCTCAAGAATGACTGCGCTATTTTTCATCGAGTCTAAACACGTAATATTCCGTTTCAAATGTTTACATAAACAGTCAAATATACGCTTTATGTTTAACTCGGACTGTTCTAAACATGTTAATACTCACTATCTGCACAATACAAACATGGTATATATAAAATATTTTATACTTACTGATTTCACTGCATTTCACCACGTTAATGGCGTCGGCGGCAACTGACGTGGTCATGGGGAATTCCTGTCTTCTGAGCAGTGCAGGAGAAGTAGTTGACTCAACTCATTTCTTATTCGTTGTTTCAGCCTAAATAAATTGAGCTCTTTTAACTTCCCCTGAATTTACTTTAGACTGACTTGAAATAACTTTGTACATCCCTTAAACTGATTCATTTTATTTGTTTCAACATACTCTATTTATTTTAATCGAACAACACCCAGAT